GTAAATCTAAGTTGAAGCCAACTCTACAAAATGGTACTTACCGCTTCTCGAAATACTTCACAATGAGAGAGTTATAACAATCAAACAGGTAGGTACATTTTTTGGGACACCCTGTATAAGTGCAAAAATAATTTCTCAAAAATTGAAATCAATAAAATTAGTCATAAAACCAAACAAAAACGGTCGGTACTCACCAACAGGGAAATGCAACATGTCCTCGGCCCTTTCCAACCACACGATCATTACTCGCAGATCCGCGCTTCTTCTTGACGGCGGCGCGTTGCCCATGCTCGAACCACCTCCACCATAGGACAACAGACCATCGCGTTCACTTCCTGTCGTTGAGCCGGTGCCTCTTTTGCGTCCAGCATCAAGGAACACCTCAGAGTGTCTATAAAATCAATAACCATGTTTCTAGCGTAGAAGACGTGATGCTGCTTACGATGTCGAATCAGCTTTAGCTTCGTCAGATGAGACAGATAACGCTGACGGTGTCTTGCTGGAGCCGCCTATAAAAAAAAACACATGGAAGCATAGCCAAAACCTGTCATGCAAAAAATTACGTCTGGAACTAGTTGCCGGTGATGCAAGATCCTGTTTGAACACTCGTAAGCTGCGTTCGGTAGGAAGAACAAATGCTAATTCATATCCTGAACCTGCCCACCATAGGGAATGTGTTACACCATCGATTATGTAATGATCGACGGCGTCCGATTCTTCCAAAGGTTCTGCAAAAAAAACTGCTAATACGCAAAGATTTCGAACGAAAAAAACTCAATAAAAGTGAAGCAAAATGGTGCAAAATAGACCGATGAAGCAACAATTCAAAAAAGTAATGTCCAACTTACTTCGTTCACTGCTGAAAGCTGTTGACCAATGACCGGTCCATGAGTCGTGGAGTCCGACTTCAATGCCTTCACCTAGCTCTGACAAAAATCCACAAAATTCTGGCCTGGTATTATGTACATTGAGCTGAAACAGGCAAATCAGTAAAGACCCATAGAAAACAATTATAGCAAAAAATAGAAAAAATTGGTCAAAAAAATTTACCGCATTATCCAAAATATCGACAGCGGACCGCTGGCCTTCTTTTACATAGAATATGTACGCAGTATGCAAAGCTCGTGCTGGACAGCTATCCACAACATCGTGCAGATCACGATAAAAGTCAGCACTAAAACGAAAGACGGATATCATGTAATAATTACCCATAAACTCATTTGACACGCTGACGACCGTGTGCATGCACGCGTATGCACGCCCTGATCACCTTTTAGCACTTTCTGCACCAATTTTTAATGTGTAAACGGAAAGTTCTAAGGTAACTTCTATGCTGTGATACTACTAGTGCCCTGATTGTCACACAGAGAACACAGGGCATTGTGGTAGCTGTTAAACACTTTAAACCAGCCGCAAATTCATCAGCCCATTTTGATGTGGTCAAAAATGGCTCGGTCGTCAACGTG